TCAGCTGCCGGGCTGGGGCCAAGCTCCTGGCGTCCGGCTGGTGCCCGGCAGAGGGCCGCATGGTCAGGGCGCTGGCAGGGCTGGCGTGGGAGGGTCTGCTCCAGCCTCCCTTCAGGCTACCTGCTGCTCTGACCCCACCCCCCTGAGGCTGCACCTACAGGACCCTGTTCTGGATCTGGCTGGGTCCAGAGCGGCCCCGGGGTCAGGCCTTCGAGGATAGGTGTAAACTGGCCCCGCTGGCCTTCCCCACGCCGCCCTGAAGCAGGGCCCCTGCCCTGCCTGCCCCAGCAGTGGAGGGCCACTGAGGCCCAGGGCAGAGGGCCTGGCCATGGGCTGAGGGGATGGGCCGTAGTGCCCCTTGGAGCTCGTGGTCTGGCCCTCCCAAGGCCGTGCAGCCGCGGGTGCAGGCAGGAGGTGAGGCCCCTGATACAGGAGCTCCCGTGGGGGCCATGGGGTGAGTTCCCACACCGTGGGGTCAGCCTCCACCTGCCTGCCCCAGCCCCCCACCCCAGCCGCCCCCCCCCATACTCTGCCCCGGGTTGCACCTCCCTGGGGGAGCCGCAGGTACTCACCCCCCACCGCTGGGCCTGAGGGAACCGTGGCCGGAGGCTGCCTTCCCCGCAGCCACCACTGCACCGAGCCGTGCAGTGGGGCCTCTGACCTGCTGAGCTGGGCACAGCTCTGAGGGGCTCTGGGTGCCCGGCGGCAGCTTGGGCAGGGACACCAGGCCCAGGAAATGGCAGGTAGCATGGGAGGCAGGGGTGGGAGTGGGCCTAGGGTCCCCTGGGTGGTCTCCTGACACCCCAGCGCCAGTTCCCTGGGGAGCCTCCCTGCTGCCTGGGGGTTGGAGGAGCTGCACGGGGCCCTGGTGCCTCCTGGGCCGAAGCGCTGGAGCAGAGGTGCCAGGAAAGCTCTGAGGCCAACCAGGGAGAAAGCAGGGCTCAGACTAGGGCCCATGCCCAGGACAGCCCCCTGGGGAGCCTAGAGGCTCTGAGCTGGAGGCCACTGCGGGGAGCTAGAGCCACCAGGAAAGGAGCAGCAGGGCGAGGACCGGCAGGCGCGGGGCAGGCGGGAGGCATGTGGCTTGTGCCCGCCGGAGGGGAGGGGCAGGCAGACACACTGCCTGGGGTGCCGAGGGTATGAGGGATGCCATCCTGTGGCCTCCACACTCTGCAGCCAGGGGCAGGCACGTGTCTGGATTCCGGGGTCCAGGAGGGACGCTCACTGCAAGGGTTCAGCTGCAAGAGGGAGCGGCTCAGACCACGCTGGCCCACGTACCGTCAGCACCACCGCGCCTGCGGGCTCCATGGATGGGTCCCAGTGGCCAGCAAGCAGGGCTGAGTGGCTGACCTGCCCATGCCAGAGGTCAGGGCACCCCTGCAGCAGCCACACAGCGTGGCCAGTGTGGGGTGGGGACAGGGACCGGCCATCCAGTGAGGGCCCAGGGTGCCTCAGGAGGGTGGGCCCGGGGACCATGGGGGGCTCTGACCCCAGCGCCCTCCCTGGAGCACGGACCTGCCCTCTGTGCCTGCGCAGGGCCGTGGGGGGCTGGGTGGCCCAGGGTGAGGGTCTGGTGAGAACCACCGTGTAGGGGTAAGACGGCGGGGCGGGGGCTGAGGCCTCCGTGGGACTGGGAGCACCTTGGTCCTGGCCAGTGGGAGGAGTGGAGGGCCACTGAGACCACGTCACCCCAACCTTTGGGCAGCAGAGCGGAGGACCAGCCGGGAGCGTGCCCCGGGTGGAGCTCCAAGGCTCTGGGCCTGCACCCCTGCCCTGGGGCGGGCGCCTGGGCACCGCAGCTGCCCTGAGCACGGAGGCGGGGCCGGTGGGCTGAGGCCGTCCCTTCCGGACAGAGGCGCCAGCGTTTGGGCGCACAGAGACCTTTTCACTGGTCAAGGGCACAGAGGGGCACAGAGGGGCAGGCTCAGGGGCACCCTGAGGCCACCTGGCCGAAAAGACCCAGGACCGAGCGAGGCAGCAGCGCCAGGAGCCGGGCCGAGCCCCTGCGCGCGCCCTTCCCCGGCCCCGCCGCCCTGGGGCCGCAAGGGCGCTGCACAGCCGCGCGGGCAGGTGCGCCCGGCCCTGGCGGACGCGGTCCCGGCCGCGGGAGCGCCCACCCCGCGCGGGGCGGGAGAGGCCGCGGCCCCGCTGCTCCGCAAGCCCCAGCCGGGCTCCCTCCCCGCCTCGGGGGCGTGTGTGGGGCGGGCCGGCCGGCCGGCTTCCCGACACCTGCCCGCCCCACCCCCGGGCGCCCCGCCCCCCGCCGCCTCCAGGGTGGGAGGGGCCTCGCGCGGCTTCAAATGCTGCTGCCGGGAGGCCGCGGGGCGAGGCCAGCGACTGCCCGCGGAGCCAGCGCCGGCGGCCAGCGGGGCACACGGCTGAGCAGCACCGAGCGGAGCCGACACCCCGGAGCCGACACCCCTGCGCGAGCTCTGGGCCTGACCCGAGGTGGGTGCGCGGGCAGGTCGCCCTCGGAGCTGGCTGGCCCCACACGGGGCCTCCCCAGCCCTGGGTGCCAGGCAGGGGCGGGCAGCGGTGGCCTGCGAGGTGGGGGTCAGGCCTCCAGCGATCTCCCAGCAGGAGGGTGGCCTTCTGGGCTGGGCCCTGCCAGCTGGTTCCTCCCGGCCCCCTCCAGGGTGATCAGTGGAGAGGGTGGCCCCCGGTGCCAGGGGGGAGGAGGGCCCTGCCCACTGCGGGAGCCGCCTGCCGCAGGCCCTGTGCCGGTCCCCAGGCCACACTGTCCAATTTGGCCCTGGGTGGGCAGGACTTTCCCAGAGGCTCGTGGCCGGGCAAAGGGCAAGGTGCTGCCTTGTGTGCGTTGGGGCAATCTGGACCCAGCACCCACCCGCCCCAGTCCTAGGCTGGGTGGGGAGCTGCCTTGCAGGGTGGTGGCAAAGGGCGGCCTCACCCAGGGCCTCACCCAAGGGCACCCGACTCATCCTGCTCAGGAATTGCTCTCCTGCCCTGGTGGCCCGAGGTGGGTCCTCCTCCCTGCCCCACCCCCGCTCCTGAGGGCTCTGTCTGCCCAGCATCTTGGTTTCTGCGACGTGGGAGGGGCGCCAGTCTCCCATGCCCACCGGCCCCTCCCCTGTTGCCCCCCCCCGGCTCATGGTCACCACAGAGGAGGGCCACCCCAGGGGCCCGATCCCACTGGGTGCAAGGGCCTCTCCTGCCCCGCCTTGGGCCCGACCCGGTGAGCGCACTGCTCTGACTGCCCTTCCCGGGCTGGCGGCTGCCCCGGCTCCTGAGAGCACTCGGACCCCCACGGCACCAGCAAAGCCCACCTGAGAGGAGACAGGCCCTCGCGGCTACCTCTGGCAGCAAAGCAAGGTCAGGCAGGGTCTGGGCTGAGAGCCGGACACGGAGCGAGAGGGCAGGGCCTCCTGAGGCCGAGCAGGGTAGCGGGACGTTGTGGGCCCTGGACGGCCAGGGCAGCCGGTGTCAGCCGCACGCAGGACACAGGGATTTGTCCCTGGGGGCAGCCCCAGTGGTGAGCAGAAAGCCCGGCGGGCCCAGCGCTGACGGGTCATGGGCCTCCCGGGGTCTGACTGGGCCCTTCAGCCAGGCCTCCGCTGCTGGGTGGTCCCCCAAGCGGCCCTCACCACCTCAGGCAGCAGCGCCAGCCCCGGCCACCCCTCAGGCAGCTCCCTGCAGTGGGTCACCCTCTTGGGCCAGGGCCCTCTGCTCACTGGCCCTGCCACACCCCCTGGTGTGGATGCGTTGTTCCCGGCGGCCAGGATGGCTGAACTCCCCGGCCCTAGGGCTGGGGCCGCAGGTCCCTGAGGGGTGGCGGGGCCAGGCCTGCCCTCCCCCAAGGCCCCCGTGCCGCCGTCCTGCCAGGCGGGAGTCCCCACACAGAGCAGCAGCCTGAGCTGGCGCTGGGCGCGCCCTGGCCTCCCACCGGAGCTGCCTCAGCCTGCCCCACCAGGGGTCAGCACCCTCCGCTCCACCAGCCGGTGCTGTCCAGAGGGGCGCGCACAGCTGTTCATGCTTTCCCAAAGCCAGGGCTGCTTGGCAGTGCCCCCCCTCCTACCACCTGTGTCCTGCCCACCTCCCAGCGCCTGTAGCTGTGCCTGGGGAGTGGCCGGCTGCTAGGAAGCCCCTGTCCTACTCCTGCCACCCGCAGCCCCCCATCTCGCAGTTCCCCCTGCTCTGCAGCCCCCACACCCTGCAGCCCCCCACAGCCCCCACACCCTGAAGCACACCCTCCCCACAGGACCCCCATCCCGCAGTTCCCCCTGCTCTGCAGCCCCCCCACTCCACAGCCCCCCCCCTTGCAGGCCCCTTCCACCCCACAGCCCCCTACACCCTGCAGCACCCCCTGCAGCCCCGTCCGGGCCCAGAGCATCTGTATTGGTGACTGGGCTGGGAGCCAGTGTGGCTGTGGGCACCAGGGAACCCTGAATCAGGGGTGACAGGTGGAGCAGAGCAACCTGCAGGGGTGGGGGTGGGGAGTCACACAGGAAATGCATCTGCTGGGTTTGGAGGCAGAGTCTCCTTGCCAGGCTGCCCTGGGTGCTCTCTTGGCCAGAGCATGGGTGCAGGAATGTGAGGGGCGGGCTACGGGGCGGGGGGGGGGGGGTGCGTGGAGGGAGGCACAGAGGCAGGGCCTTGGGAAGCAGGGCCTGGCTGGAGGTCACCCAGGGGTGCAGGGGCCAAAGGGTGACTCTGGGGCAGGAAGATGTGAGGCCAGCCCCAGCGCAAGCAGAGCTGGGCTGAGTCCATCAGGCTGGAGGACGGGGCTGGGCCCAGGGGGCGCCCCAGGACCCCAGGGGAGGGTGCAAGGGTTGAGGGTGCCGCTGGAGGAAAGGCCAGATGGCGTCCTCCAGGAGGAAGCCTGGCCCACTTCCTTCTGGCTCTGGCCAGCCTCAGGCTGAGCCCACCCCACCCACCCCCCGCCGCGGGATGCTGACCCTTGACCCCAGGAGGCAGCCGCACAATCCTCACTGGGTGCCCTGTCTCAGCAGGGCCGCAGCTGACACCATGAACGGCCACGCCTCTCCTGTGGACATCCCGGTCACGGAGCCCACCCTTGTCCCCGAGGCCATGAAGATGGTGCTGGGAGCCATCAGCCCCGCTGGGGCCCCGGCCGAGGTGCCACAGGCCCGGAGCATCGCCGGGGTGTATGTGGAGGCCTCTGGCCAAGTCCAGAGCATCTACGCCGCCATGAAGCAGGGCCTCCTGCCCAGTGGGCTGGGAGTGACTCTGCTAGAGGCCCAAGCGGCTACCGGGGCCTCGTGAACCACACTCAAGGCCAGCTGCTGCCCGTGTCCGAGGCCCTGCAGCAGGGCCTGGTGGGTCTGGAGCTGAAGGAGAAGCTGCTGGCCGCTGAGCGTGCAGTCACGGGCTACCCTGACCCCTACGGGGGAGGGAAGCTGGCCCTCTTCCAGGCCATGGGGAAGGAGGTCGTGGACCCAGCCCTGGGGAGGAGCTGGCTGGAGGCCCAACTGGCCACAGGGGGCCTAGTGGACCCCACCCGAGGCGAGCGTGTGACCCCAGCACTGGCCTGCCAGCAGGGCCTGCTGGACCAGGAGACCTGGCTCAGCCTGTCCGAGCACAAGCCTGGTACGGGGACCCCAGGTTTCTTGGACCCCAACACTCTGGAGCGGCTGCCCTACCGCGAGCTGCTGGGCAGGTGTGTGCAGGACCCCGCCACAGGACTGCCCCTCCTGCCCCTCAAGACCACTTTCTGTACCCTGAGCGGGGCGGTTAGCCTGGAGGAGCTGCTGCAGGCAGGCGTCTTGGACGAGGAGACAGCCCGCGGCTTGCGGGAGGGCAGTCTGGCTGTGTCTGATGTGAGCGCGCGCCCTGAGGTGCAGCGCAGCCTGCGGGGCACAGGCAGTGTGGCGGGGGCCGTCCTGCTGCCCGCCGGCCACAAGAAGAGCTTCTGCCAGGCCGCTGCCGAGCACCTGCTCCCCACGGGCGCCGCCGTCCCACTCCTGGAGGCTCAGGCTGCCACCTACACGCTGGTAGACCCAGCCACGGGCCAGCAGCTGGGGGTGGACGAGGCGGTCAGGGCAGGCCTGGTGGGCCCTGAGCTGCACGGGCGCCTCCTGGAGGCAGAGCAGGCTGTGACAGGGTACCACGACCCCTTCACTGGCACCCGCATCCCCCTCTTCCAGGCCATGAAGAAGGGGCTGGTGGAGCAGTCACTGGCTCTGCGGCTGCTGGAGGCCCAGCTGGCCACAGGGGGGCTGATCTGTCCAGTCCGCAGGCTCCGGCTGTCCCCAGAGGCTGCTCTGCGCCTCGGCTGCCTGGACAGGGAGACCCAGCAGCAGCTCTCACGGGCAGCTGGCTTCTCAGACCCCAGCACCGGGAGCAGCCTCAGCTATGCGCAGCTGCAGGCCCGCTGCGTCACAGACCCCGAGACGGGGCTGGCCTTCCTGCCCCTGTCAGGGGGCGGCCTTGGGGAGGAGCCCTGGGGGGCCCCATTCATTGAGCACAGCACCCGGCAGGCCTTGAGCGAGGCCACGACCACTGTCTCGGTGGGCAAATTCCAGGGCCGCCCCACATCCCTCTGGGAGCTGCTCTTCTCCGAGGCTGTCCCCGCAGGGCAGCGGGCTACTCTGGCGCAGCAGCATCGGGAAGGGGCCCTGTCACTGCAGGAGCTGGCGGCCGTACTGAGGACCACCATGGAGCAGGCCGTGGCCACAGCCAAGGTCACCTTCGCCGGGCTGAGGGCCATGGTGACGCCGGGAGAGCTTCTAGAGGCCGAGATCATCGGCCGGGACGTGTACGAGCAGCTGCTGCGGGGCCAGGCCACGGCCCAGGATGTGGGCCGCCTGGACTCGGTGCACAGGTACCTGCAGGGCACGGGCTGCGTCGCGGGCCTGCTCCTGCCGGACACCCAGGAGCCAGTCAGCATCTACCAGGCTCGCGGGAAGGGGCTGCTGCGGCCGGGCACGGCACTCATCCTCCTTGAGGCTCAGGCTGCCACCGGCTTCCTCATCGACCCCAGGGAGAACCGCAGGCTTTCTGTGGAGGAGGCGCTGAGGGCCGGCATCATTGGCCCCGACGTGTTCGCCAAGCTGCTCTCGGCCGAGCGCGCTGTCACCGGCTACACCGACCCCTACACCGGGGAGCAGATCTCCCTGTTCCAGGCCATGCAGAAGGGCCTGATCGTGCGGGACCACGGCCTGCGCCTGCTCGAGGCCCAGATCGCCACGGGCGGCATCATCGACCCCGTGCACAGCCACCGCCTGCCCGTGGACGTGGCCTACCAGCGCGGCTACTTCGACGAGGACATGAGCCGCGTGCTGGCCGACCCGGGCGACGACACCAAGGGCTTCTTCGACCCCAACACGCAGGAGAACCTCACCTACCTGCAGCTGCTGGAGCGCTGCGTGCAGGACCCCGACACCGGGCTGCGCCTCCTGCCGCTCAGCAGCACACGGCCCCAGCTGGTGGATGGTGCCACCCGCCGGGCCCTCCAGGGCCTGCTGCTGCTGGTGAGGCATGGGCGGTTCCAGGGCCTCAGGGTCTCCGCCTGGGAGCTGCTCAACTCTGAGTACTTTCGCGAGGACACCCGCAGGCAGCTCCTGCGCGGCTTCTGCCGGGGCCAGGTCTCGCTGGAGCAGGTGTCGCAGCTGCTAGAGACAGAGATGGGCAGGTGGGCGGATATCAGGCTGCCCGCCCTGCGGGGCCAGGTCACCGCCCACCAGCTCCTGGAGGCCGGCGTCATCGACCAGGAGTTGCTGGACCAGGTGCTGGCAGGGGCAGTGAGTCCCGAGGCCCTGCTCCGCCTGGACGCTGTCCTCAGGGCGCTGCGGGGCTCGGGGGCCGTGGGTGGGGTGCTCCTGCCCTCCACCTGCCAGCAGCTCAGCATCTACCAGGCCATGAAGCAGAAGCTGCTGGGACCAGGCGTGGCCCTGGCCTTGCTGGAGGCCCAGGCTGCCACCGGTGCCGTGGTGGACCCCCGCAGTGGGGAGACCCTCTCAGTGGATGAGGCCGTGCGCCAGGAGCTAGTGGGGCCCGAGCTGTATGGCAGGCTGAGGCGGGCCGAGGGCGCCCTCACCGGCTTCAGAGACCCCTTCTCTGGGGGGCCCGTGTCCTTGTTCCAGGCCATGAAGAAGGGCCTTGTCCCCGTGAAGCAGGCTGCCCGCCTCCTCGAGGCCCAGGTGGCCACAGGAGGGGTCATTGACCCCACCGGCCACTACCACCTCCCCATGTCCGTGGCCGCCCAGCGTGGCTTCATCGACCAGGAGATGGAATCAGCCTTGTGCCGCACCACAGAGACCTTCCCCACACCAGACGGCCGAGCTCTCACCAGCTATGCCAGGCTGCTGCAGCAGTGTGTGCGGGACGAGGCCACCGGCCTTCACCTCCTGCCCCTGCCCGAGGGCGCTCCCACCGTCCCCACAGACCAGCAGGTCCAGGAGGCCCTGCAGGCCACTCAGGGGGCCAAGGACGGCTCATCCCTCTGGGAGCTCCTGGGGTCCTGCCACTTCACTGAAGAACAGCGCGAGGCCTTCCTGGAGGACTTTCGGGCTGGGAGGACAAACGTGCCTCAGCTGCGGGAGGCCGTGTGTGCGCAGCTGCAGGTGGCGGAGCTGCAGGCACAGGCCCATGTCACCCTGCCAGGCCCCAGGGGCGAGGTCCCCGCCGTCTGGCTGCTGGACGCTGGCATCATCACGCAGGAGACGCTAGAGGCGCTGGCCCAGGGCAGGCTGTCTCCCGCTGAGGCCACGGAGCAGCCTGCAGTGAAGGCCTGCCTGTGGGGCACTGGCTGCGTGGCCGGGGTGCGGCTGCAGCCCTCGGGGGCCACGGTGAGCATCTCCCAGGCCGTGAGGGACGGGCTCCTGCCCGAGGGCCTGGGGCGGAGGCTGCTGGAGGCCCAGGTGGCCACCGGCTCACTGATTGACCCCATGAGCAATCAAAGACTGTCGGTGGAGGACGCAGTCAAAGTCGGCTTGGTGGATGGGGCGCTAAGTGAGCAGCTCGGGCAGGTGGAGCGGGTGGTGGCCGGACACACTGACCCCTGCTCCAGGGTCTCCCTCTCCTTGTGGCAGGCCATGGAGAAGGGGCTGGTGCCCCGGAGCGAGGGCCTCCCCCTGCTGCAGGCCCAGCTGGCCACAGGGGGCGCAATAGACCCTGTCTATGGGGTGCACCTTCCCCAGGCCACAGCCTGCAGGCGTGGCCTGCTGGATGGGCCAACGAGCCAGGCACTGACTGGGACAGATGAGGACAGCAAGTTCTTCTTCGACCCCCACAAGCGGGACAAGCTGACTTACCGGCAGCTCCTAGAGCGCTGTGTCCAGGATGCCGACACTGGTGTCTGGCTGCTGCCGCTGCCCCAGGATGCAGCGCTCGAGGTGGACGAGCACACGGCCGTGGCGCTGAGGGCCATGAAGGTGCCGGTGAACGCAGGCCGCTTCCAAGGCCACAGCGTGTCCCTCTGGGACCTCCTGCACTCAGAGTACGTCTCAGCCGACAGGCGGCGGGACCTGGCCACCCTCTGCCAGTCTGGGAGGGCCACCGCCCTGCGCCAGGTGGTCAGTGCTGTCAGCACGCTGATTGAGGCCTCGGCAGGGCGGTCCCCCCAGCCTGCCTTCAGAGGACTGCGCAAGCAGGTGTCCGCCAGCGACATGTTCCGGGCCCAGCTCATCGACAAGAAGACACTGGACGAACTGACCCAGGGGAGGAAGACCGTGCAGGAGGTAACAGCCATGGACGGGGTGCGGCGCTTCTTGGAAGGGGGCAACTTCATCGCCGGGGTCCTGGTCCAGGACACGCAGGAGAAGATGAGCATCTCGGACGCGCTGCAGAGGGGCGTCCTGCGGCCCGGCACGGCCCTGGTGCTGCTGGAGGCTCAGGCGGCCACCGGCTTCCTCATCGACCCCGTGCGCAACCGCAAGCTGACGGTGGAGGAGGCCTTTGCGGAGGGCATGTTCGGCAGGGAGACCTACCAGAAGCTGCTCTCGGCCGAGCGCGCCGTCACCGGCTACACCGACCCCTACACCGGGGAGCAGATCTCCCTGTTCCAGGCCATGCAGAAGGGCCTGATCGTGCGGGACCACGGCCTGCGCCTGCTCGAGGCCCAGATCGCCACGGGCGGCATCATCGACCCCGTGCACAGCCACCGCCTGCCCGTGGACGTGGCCTACCAGCGCGGCTACTTCGACGAGGACATGAGCCGCGTGCTGGCTGACCCGGGCGACGACACCAAGGGCTTCTTCGACCCCAACACGCACGAGAACCTCACCTACCTGCAGCTGCTGGAGCGCTGCGTGCAGGACCCCGACACCGGGCTCTACATGCTGCAGATAGTGAAGAAAGGTGAGACCTACTTGTACATCGACGGAGCCACCAGGCAGTTCCTGCAGTCAAAGACCATGGACCTGGGCCTGGGCAGGTTTGCCGGCCTGACAGTGTCTGTCTGGGACCTGCTGTCCTCTCCGTACTTTCCCGAGGACAGGAAGCGCAGCCTGGTCCAGGAGTACAGGGCCCAGAAGCTACGCCTGGAGCAGCTGCTGGAGATCATCACCAAGACTGTGGAAGAGACGGAGCAGCGAGGGCTGGCGGTCAAGGTGGCGGGCATCGGTGGGGAGGTGACGGCCGCAGAGCTGTTCAACGCCGGCATCATCGACAAGAAGACCCTGGATGCACTGCCCATGGGGAGCTTGGGTGCGCAGGCCCTCTGCCAGCTGAAGCACGTGCGGCCCTACCTGGAGGGCAGTGGCTGCATCGCGGGGGTCACTGTGCCCGACACCCGGGAGGTCTTGAGCATCTACGAGGCCAGCAAGAAAGGACTCATCCCCATGGGGTTTGCGGTTCAACTGCTTGAGGCACAGGCAGCCACGGGGTTCTTGCTGGACCCCAAAAACCACCAGAGGCTGTCTCTGCGTGAGGCCCTGGCTGCTGGCCTCGTTGGTGAGGAATTGGAGGAAAGGCTCCTGGCAGCGGAGCAGGCGGCCAGGGGCTGCAGGGACCCGGCCACGGGTGACACACTGTCCCTCTTCCAGGCCATGGAGCAGAGGCTGGTCAGGAGGGACGAGGCCCTCAGGCTGCTTGAGGTGCAGATGGCCACGGGCGGTGTCCTCGACCCACGATACCACCACCGGCTCCCGCTGGACACGGCCTACAGACGCGGCTATCTGCGTCCGGAGAGCCTGGCCCTGGTGACTGACCAGCAGCACATGAACAAGCGGTTCCTGGACCCGAGCACACAGCAGAGGGCCACGTACCAAGAGCTCCAGGAGCGCAGCCGCCAGGAAGAAGGCACGGGCTGGCTGCTGTTCCCTGTGGTCGCAGGCGGGGAAAATGCCCAGGACATCGACGGGGCTACCAGGAGGGCTCTGGAGGCCCAGAGGGTGGAGGTGGCAGTGGGGCGGTTCCGGGGGCAGAAACCCTCAGTGTGGGAGCTGCTGAACTCTGAGTATGTGACGGAGGAGAAGAAGCTCGAGCTAGTGAGGGCGTACAAGCGGGACAGCCAGCGCACGCTAGAGGAGGTGGTGCGGACGGTGTCCCAAATGATCCACGCCCGGGAGACGCAGACTAGGCCACTGTGGTTCCGGGGGCTCAGGAGACAAGTCACCGCACTGGAGCTGTTCCATGCAGGCGTGATCGCCGCGGACACACTCCGGGACCTGGAGGGCGGAGGGCGCTCCACAGCAGACGTGGGTATGGCCCAGGAGGTGCGGCGCTACCTGGAGGGCACGGGCAGCATCGCTGGCGTGCTGCTGCCCCCCAAGGACAGCGCCGGGCGGCCCGAGAAGATGAGCATCTACGAGGCCATGTGGAGGGGTATCCTGCGGCCCGGAACGGCCCTGGTGCTGCTGGAGGCCCAGGCGGCCACCGGCTTCCTCATCGACCCCGTGCGTGACCAGCGGCTAACCGTGGAGGCAGCGGTGGCCAGAGGAGTGGTTGGTGGAGAGCTCCGGGACAAGCTGCTCTCGGCCGAGCGCGCCGTCACCGGCTACACCGACCCCTACACCGGCGAGCAGATCTCCCTGTTCCAGGCCATGCAGAAGGGGCTGATCGTGCGGGACCACGGCCTGCGCCTGCTCGAGGCCCAGATCGCCACGGGCGGCATCATCGACCCCGTGCACAGCCACCGCCTGCCCGTGGACGTGGCCTACCAGCGCGGCTACTTCGACGAGGACATGAGCCGCGTGCTGGCCGACCCGGGCGACGACACCAAGGGCTTCTTCGACCCCAACACGCAGGAGAACCTCACCTACCTGCAGCTGCTGGAGCGCTGCGTGCAGGACCCCGACACCGGGCTCTACATGCTGCAGCTGGCCCCTGCGGGCTCCGCCCTGCACCAGCTGAGCCAGGAGCTGCGCAGGGCCCTGCGGGAGACGCAGCTGGCGCCGGGCGGGGCGCCCCCCCGGGCCGGGCCCGCTCCGTGTGGGAGCTGCTCTTCTCCCGGGAGGTGTCCGAGAGCCAGCGGCAGGACCTGCTGCGCAGGTACGGGGCGGGCTCGCTGACCCCGCAGGAGGTGGGCGCCTCCCTCGCCGCACTGCTGGCCGGGGCCAAGACCGGCGGCCCGAGCCCGGCGCCCCCTGACGCCCGGGCGGCCCTGCGCACCGCCACCATGGAGGTCCGGGTGGGCCAGCTGCGAGGCCCGGCGGTGCCCGTGTGGGACGTGCTGGCGTCCGGCTACGTGAGCGGCGCCACGCGGGAGCAGCTGCTGGCCCAGTTCGGCTCGGGCGCGCTGGGCCTGCCCGCGCTGACCCGCAGGCTGACCACCATCATCGAGGAGGCCGAGCTGGCCCTGGACGGCCGGCACGCCGCCCCCGGCCAGCGGGGGCCGGCTGAGGGGGCCAGGCGCCCCCCGCCGGCCCGGCCGACACCGAGCACGACGCCGCGGCCCGGCGCGGCCAGGAGCAGGCCCTGCGAGCCGCCACCATGGAGCTGAGCGTCGGGCAGTTCCGGGGCCGTCCCGTGTCCGTGTGGGACGTGCTCTCCTCCTCCTACCTGAGCGCCGAGCGCCGGGCCCAGCTGCTGGCCCGGCACGCGGCCGGGGACCTGGGCCTGCCCGCCCTGGTGGCCGCCCTCACCCTGCTGGTGGAGGAGGCCGAGCAGCGGCTGGGCCGGCTGTCCTTCACCGGCCTGCGGCGCCAGGTGTCGGTCTCCGAGCTGCTGGCGTCCAGGATCCTGGGCCCCGACGCCCTGCGGGACCTGGTCCAGGGCGCCAAGACCCCGCGGGAGGTGGCGGCCACGGACGGCGTGCGGCGCTACCTGGAGGGCACGGGCAGCATCGCCGGCGTGCTGCTGCCCCCCAAGGACGGCGCCGGGCGGCCCGAGAAGATGAGCATCTCGGACGCGCTGCAGAGGGGCGTCCTGCGGCCCGGCACGGCCCTGGTGCTGCTGGAGGCTCAGGCGGCCACCGGCTTCCTCCTCGACCCCGTGCGCAACCGCAAGCTGACGGTGGAGGAGGCCTTTGCGGAGGGCGTGTTCGGCAGGGACACCTACCAGAAGCTGCTCTCGGCCGAGCGCGCCGTCACCGGCTACACCGACCCCTACACCGGCGAGCAGATCTCCCTGTTCCAGGCCATGCAGAAGGGCCTGATCGTGCGGGACCACGGCCTGCGCCTGCTCGAGGCCCAGATCGCCACGGGCGGCATCATCGACCCCGTGCACAGCCACCGCCTGCCCGTGGACGTGGCCTACCAGCGCGGCTACTTCGACGAGGACATGAGCCGCGTGCTGGCCGACCCGGGCGACGACACCAAGGGCTTCTTCGACCCCAACACGCAGGAGAACCTCACCTACCTGCAGCTGCTGGAGCGCTGCGTGCAGGACCCCGACACCGGGCTCTACATGCTGCAGCTGGCCCCTGCGGGCTCCGCCCTGCACCAGCTGAGCCAGGAGCTGCGCAGGGCCCTGCGGGAGACGCAGCTGGCGCCGGGCGGGGGCGCCCCCCCGGGCCGGGCCCGCTCCGTGTGGGAGCTGCTCTTCTCCCGGGAGGTGTCCGAGAGCCAGCGGCAGGACCTGCTGCGCAGGTACGGGGCGGGCTCGCTGACCCCGCAGGAGGTGGGCGCCTCCCTCGCCGCACTGCTGGCCGGGGCCAAGACCGGCGGCCCGAGCCCGGCGCCCCCTGACGCCCGGGCGGCCCTGCGCACCGCCACCATGGAGGTCCGGGTGGGCCAGCTGCGAGGCCCGGCGGTGCCCGTGTGGGACGTGCTGGCGTCCGGCTACGTGAGCGGCGCCACGCGGGAGCAGCTGCTGGCCCAGTTCGGCTCGGGCGCGCTGGGCCTGCCCGCGCTGACCCGCAGGCTGACCACCATCATCGAGGAGGCCGAGCTGGCCCTGGACGGCCGGCACGCCGCCCCCGGCCAGCGGGGGCCGGCTGAGGGGGGCCAGGCGCCCCCCGCCGGCCCGGCCGACACCGAGCACGACGCCGCGGCCCGGCGCGGCCAGGAGCAGGCCCTGCGAGCCGCCACCATGGAGCTGAGCGTCGGGCAGTTCCGGGGCCGTCCCGTGTCCGTGTGGGACGTGCTCTCCTCCTCCTACCTGAGCGCCGAGCGCCGGGCCCAGCTGCTGGCCCGGCACGCGGCCGGGGACCTGGGCCTGCCCGCCCTGGTGGCCGCCCTCACCCTGCTGGTGGAGGAGGCCGAGCAGCGGCTGGGCCGGCTGTCCTTCACCGGCCTGCGGCGCCAGGTGTCGGTCTCCGAGCTGCTGGCGTCCAGGATCCTGGGCCCCGACGCCCTGCGGGACCTGGTCCAGGGCGCCAAGACCCCGCGGGAGGTGGCGGCCACGGACGGCGTGCGGCGCTACCTGGAGGGCACGGGCAGCATCGCCGGCGTGCTGCTGCCCCCCAAGGACGGCGCCGGGCGGCCCGAGAAGATGAGCATCTCGGACGCGCTGCAGAGGGGCGTCCTGCGGCCCGGCACGGCCCTGGTGCTGCTGGAGGCCCAGGCGGCCACCGGCTTCCTCCTCGACCCCGTGCGCAACCGCAAGCTGACGGTGGAGGAGGCCTTTGCGGAGGGCGTGTTCGGCAGGGACACCTACCAGAAGCTGCTCTCGGCCGAGCGCGCCGTCACCGGCTACACCGACCCCTACACCGGCGAGCAGATCTCCCTGTTCCAGGCCATGCAGAAGGGGCTGATCGTGCGGGACCACGGCCTGCGCCTGCTCGAGGCCCAGATCGCCACGGGCGGCATCATCGACCCCGTGCACAGCCACCGCCTGCCCGTGGACGTGGCCTACCAGCGCGGCTACTTCGACGAGGACATGAGCCGTGTGCTGGCCGACCCGGGCGACGACACCAAGGGCTTCTTCGACCCCAACACGCACGAGAACCTCACCTACCTGCAGCTGCTGGAGCGCTGCGTGCAGGACCCCGACACCGGGCTCTACCTGCTTTCCGTGTCTTGAGTGTGTAATTTTCTTTGCTCGCCCATATAAAATGCATTTTGCAATCCTCCCCGGTGGCGTAGCGGTTTGAGCGCTGCGCTGTGAGCCTGTCTGAGGCCTCTGCATTGCGGGTTCGATCCTGGCTGGCTGGTGAGAATCCCAAGGTGCAGCAGACCCATCCTGTCTCTCAGCTGCTCCCCTCAGCCTTGTATTTCTGTAGATCTGCCTGTTCTGCTCTCCGCTCTGGCTCTGGTGAATCCGATCAACGCCTGTGGTCCTGGTGGTACCCCAGCTCTTGTATAAAAATAATAAATCAATCTTAAACAAGAAAATTAAGAAATTGGGCCTCCCTGTGGCGCAGCAATTGAACGCTGGGCTGCGAAGCTGCCCGCAGCCTCTGTAGCGCCTGTTCAATCCCGGCTGGCCGGGGAGGGTCCCACATGGCGCGCAGACCTCTCCTGCCGCACCCGCTGCTCCCCTCAGCAGTGTACTTTGTTTGTCTGCCTGTTCTGTTCCCTGCTCTGACTCTGGTGAATCCTCTCACCCTCCGGCGCTTCTGACTCTCCACAGTGCTTGTATAAATAAATAAATAAAATTGTTTAAATTAAAAAATTAAATGCATTTTCTGCCACATCCCTTTTTCCTGATGGTTTGCTTGTTTGTGTGTGTTGCTGATAGCCGCGCAGCCCTCCCTTGGAAATCCCTTTTCAGATTTTCCTTCTTGCACTTGTGCCCTCCGCCTGCCCCGCCCTGCCCGCTTCCTTGCGTGAGGACCTTCCTGCAGGCCTGAGCTGCTGCCTGTGCTGGCGCCCGTCGTTGGTGTTCCGTGTTTACGCCGGCTCCGTCCTTTCTCGACGACCTCACGTCCATCAGTTCCTGAGTTTTTCTTCAGACTGTCCTCCAGTCCCAGAGCCATGCCCTTTCTGGCTGGACCCAGGGCCCCCTTTCCCAGGCGGTTGGCGGTGCGGGCCCCACTCCAGCTGTCCCTTGGAGGTGCCGGTTCACATGAGTGTCCAGACCCTGCCTCCAGGAGCTGAGTTGGGGCCAGCGCAAGTCCCTCGTCCATAGCAGCTCTTCTGCACAGCAGGCAGAGGCAGACCTGCTGCCCATTCATTCTTTTACTTTTTTTCAAAAGATTTATTTATTTATTATACAACTGGGGTGCAGGCCAGAGGTGCAGGGGTGAGAGGACTCCCCAGAGACAGAGTGGGGAGCAGAACAGGCGGATCCACTGAAATCCACTGCTGAGGGGAGCAGCGGGGGGACAGGAGAGGTCTGCTCGCCATGTGGGTAGCTCCCTGGCTGGGGATGGAACTTGGACTGCAGAGGCTGGGACAGCTTCGTGGTGCTGAGACTGACCCTGCACCGCCGGGGAGGCGCGGGACTTCATTCTTTCAGGGAACCTAAAAACCCATCCACTTCATAAAGGTTCTGAGGAATCCCCAGCTCAGTGCAAAGCCCCCCCACCCAGGGTGCTCCTGGGGTGCAGGGGTCCTCCTGCGAGCCCAGGGTGCTCCTCCGGTCCTTGGAGCCTAATTCCTTGGTCTCGGGGCTCAGGCCAGCTCCAGAACACGAACTGGTCACAATGTATGGAAAAATCTAGAAAAAGGTGGTCCCTCCAATTTGTTCCTATCAGTACTTCATGCAGGAGTGTCGCTCAGGCAGTCACGGCAGCAGAGCACCCCAGGAGGGAGCACCCCCGGAAGGTAGGCAGTGGCAGCGGGGCAGCCACAGACCGGCACCGCTCACCACGATGCGCCTGGACACCGAAGCTAAAAGCAACACAGTCCCCCCCGCCCCGCCCTCTGCCCATGCGCACCCCCTGCACCCATGTGCCTGCCCTGTGGGGTCCCCCCGGGGCCCTGCCTGCCCTCCACCGATGCACCCCCCCATGTGCCTGTCCTGTGCGGGGCAGTGCATCCAGGAGTCCGGCACCTCCTGCCCAAGGGCCCGGGACAGGGCGCATGAGGCCCGCACCTCTGGCCGACACCCCGTCCTTCTCCGGAAATAGTAACCCTTGGGAAAAAGCAGCAAGAACCTCCTACGTCGGGACGGCTTTATTTGTGTTCTAATAAAAAATGCTGTTTTTGATGTGAGGCTCCCTGGGGGTGACCAGGCCCCGACCCACATAGCCCAAGGCGGCCTCGGGCTGTGGAAAAGTGAATTTCCATCATTCACACCAGGAGTTTGTGGGCAGAGGCAGCGAGGGAGACAGCGGCTATTTTGAAAGTGAAAAGAAAAACATGACATTGCTTTTTGGTTTGTAAGTAACATTTTCTTCGGTGTTACAGCTCTGACTTATGGACAGAAACCGGACACCTGTACCTGCCAGCGGGAGTGTGTGTGTGGGGGGCGGGGTGTGTGTGGGGGGGGCGTGTGTGTGGTGTGTGTGTGTGGAGTGTGTTGTGTGTGAGTTGTGCTGTGTGTGGAGGAGGCCGCCCCCTCCCTTCAGCTAGGCCTGGCAAGCCGAGCGTGTGTCTGGCACTGGGTTGGCCGGGTCCTCCCAGGGCTGGTGCCCGCCAGCCTGGCCCCAGGTTGACCGCAGCAGCTAAGTACTTGCTGCTCCTGGCACTCAGGAGCGAGGCGGCGCCAGGGTGTCCTGCTGTTCCAGGCTGGTCCCATGGGGCTGCAGGGGGTAGCCTGTGGGAAAGGTGGGGGTGGACGCTCTGCTCACCCTCCAGTGCCCCCCCTGGCCACTCCCAGCCCGAGTCTGTGGGCCCAGCTGCTGACCCAGCTGCCTGTCCCACTGGGCCTCACAGATCAAATCCCGTCACACAGTTTTCCCTTTACTGATTTCTCGAGGAGGCTGGGGGACCCCCGTGGGCCAGCAGGTGGCAGGGCGCCCCCAGGTGGCTGCCCAGGCAGGCGGGCACCTATACCAGTGGGGTGCCCGTGCAGGGATGGGCGGGGCAGCAGGAGTGTCCTCTCTCAACCACTGCTGCTGGGAACTGGGGTCTGGCAAGCCCCTCCAGGCACCTGGCGCTCACGGGGCAGGGATGGAGCCAGCTCTGCCCACTGCTGAGAGCCAGGGGCACCACACATGGCACACTGTCCAGGTGCAGAGTCCTCGCTGTGGACGCTGGAGGGCGGCGTGGCCCCAGGCATGCAGACGCACAGAGCAGGTGCCCAGCAGCAGCTTATTCTTGTCCGAAGCCCACAGCTACAGTGCCAGCTGGGCTGATTCCTCAGGGCGGCTCCAGGCTCCAGGGCTCGGAGCATCCTGGGCTGTGGCCATGCTGGTCCATGAGTTCCAGTCTCTGCCTCTCGCCTGGATGCTCCTGGTAGGTCTTCCCTCAGGGCCCTCTCCTTTCTCTCTGGCCCCCGCCAGCCTCGTCTCCTTCTCAGAGTGCATCTGCAAAGGCCTCTGCAAGCAGAAAGGCCCCGCTGCTGCCCGCGGAGGACCCCTGGCAGGGGCGAGGCCGGTAGTGACCGCGGCAGTGCTCCCTCCTGCCCACCGGCCCTGGGGAGGAGTCTGTGGGCGCCTGCTGCATGCAGAGTCCGAGACCCATGAATGAGGGGGTGACATGTGTGGGGGCTCAGAGAGGTGACACTGTGTCAAGGTCGGAGGGGAGTGGCTCTGAGGATGTCTGAGGGGCACCCACCAGGCAGGGGCATGGGCCATGGCCAGCAAAGCAGGGCCTGTTGGCCGGTGGGCACAAGGTAAGGGCAGCAGACGAGGCAGACAGGGGCACACGCATCCTCAGAGCGGGGCCCGGCCCACCCCCCGGGCTGGCCTTCCACAGGGGCTGGGAACAGCCTGCACTGGCAGCAGACTCGCCACGGCGAAAGGGGAGCCCGAGGCCAGCACCCCGGACAAGCCCACACGCCCCAGATGAGGGTCCCCTCCTGTGGCCACGTAGCCTCCCTGATCCTGAGTGACAACGGCTTTGGTCGGGTCAGCGCGCGGGCTGCCCTCGTGGCGGGTGGCTTGGGGCCCCTGTGGACCGTGGCCAGCCAGACCCCGGGCGCGGCCCTGAGCAGCTGTCCCAGGACCGAGGCCCTGCCAGGCTGTCCAGGCGCGTCTCTGCACCGCACAGATTCCCCGGGAGGGTCCCGGCTGCCGGCCAGGGCAGGGCAGTGGGGAGGGCAGGCCCCAGGGGCAGGGAGGGGTGGAGGGTCAGGGGAGGCAGCCGGAGGCCGGTGGCTGTGCTCTCTGGCCAGTGAGGGTGTGAGGACTCAGCAGCCAAGAGGGACGGAGACCAGGCGGGGCTGTGGCCAGGGAGGCGCGCGGTCACTCACTGGCCTGCACTGGCCCGCCCGTCTGTGTATTTTCCTGCCGCCTTCAGGGAGCCGCCGCGCCCCTGGGGAAGGCCAGTGGGGCCGCGCCCGCCCCGCCCTCGGCCCGGGAGAGCCCGGCGCCTGGTGTCCGGCTCCACGCTGGCGCGGCCGGGACGGAAGCCCCGGGACTGGGCCGCGTCGGGAGGTCCGGCTCCGACCGTGCGCGGCGGGCCCAAGCGGCCGGCAGGGCAGGCTCCGAGGCCGGCTGGGGCGGCCGCGGGGCCCACTCGGCCGGCCCGGCGCGGGGAGCGGGCGGGGCCGGGGCGGGGCGCGGGCTCGGCCCACCCCGCCTGCTCCACTCGGGCTCGGGCCCCGGGGGGCGGCTCCGGAGGGGCGGGCCGGCTCCTCCCCCGCGCCGCGCCCGCGCCTCGGAACCCGCGGCCGGTGGGGGCTGAGGGCGGCGGCGCCTCGCCCGGCTGGGGTCCGCGCCCGCTGGGGTCCGCGCCCGCCGGGGTCCGCGCCCGCCGGGGTCCGCGCCCGCCGGGGTCCGCGCGCGGCGGGGGCGGCGGATCGCGGAGGGCGGCGGCCTGCGCCCGCCGAGCCATGGCGGCCCCGGAGCCGGCGCCCAGGCGGGGCCGGGAGCGGGAGCGCGAGGACGAGAGCGAGGACGAGAGCGACATCCTGGAGGAGAGCCCCTGCGGCCGCTGGCAGAAGCGGCGGGAGCAGGTGGGCGCGGGCAGCGGGGACAGCGCGCCCCGCGGGGGGCTCAGCCGGGCGGGGCGCCGGGGGCCGCGGCCGCCCCAGGCCCAAAATCCGTCCGCGGCCCGCGCCGCCGCCCTTGGGGCCGACCCCAGCCCTTTCACCCGCCCCCGCGCGCCGAGCCCGGGTCTCCACCGAGGTCCACGTCCCCGGCCTCGGCGCGCGCTCGCGGGCCCCTGGGGACCACCCTGGCCCCGAGCCCGCTCCAGAGCGCGCGGCCCGCACTGGAGGCCTCGCCCGCCGCCCAGCTCCCCGCGAGCGGGCCGGGACCTGCTCCGAGCTCCGCGCCCGCGGGACGGGCGTGGGCAGGGCCGGCCCCCCTCGCATGCCAGCGCGCTCTCGCCCGCCGCGCCCAGGTGAACCAGGGGAACATGCCGGGGGTTCAGAGCACCTTCCTGGCCATGGACACGGAGGAGGGCGTGGAGGTG